CAAAGACTTCTAACGGTTTACAGTCTGTTAAAAGACGCTGGCTGGAGGATGCTGGGGTCGAGCCCGTGATTAGCTTCATCCATAACTGAACCTCAGTAATTACAATCTTCAGTCTTGCTTGGTAACGGTACATGTAATAATAATAACAATAATAAAGTTGGAAGGGACCTTGGAGGTCATCTAGTCCAACCCCCTGCTCAGGCAGGAAACCCTATACCATTTCAGACAAATGGCTGTCCAGTCTCTTCTTAAAAACTTCCAGTGTTGGAGCATTCGCCGCTTCTGGAGGCAGGTTGTTCCACTGGTTAATTGTTCTAACTGTCAGGAAGTTTCTTCTTAGTTCTAGGTTGCTTCTCTCCTTGATCAGTTCCCATCCGTTGCTTCTTGTCCTGCCTTCAGGCGCTTTGGAGAATAGCTTGACTCCCTCTTCTTTGGGGCAGCCCCTGAGATACTGGAAGACTGCTATCATGTCCCCCCCTCGTCCTTCTCTTCATTAAACTAGACATACCCAATTCCAGCAACCGTTCCTTATACATTTTAGCCTCCAGTCCCCTAATCCTCTTTGTTGCTCTTCTCTTTCTAGAGTCTCAATATCTTTTTACATCGTGGTGATCAAAACTGGATGCAGTATTCCAAGTGTGGCCTTACCAAGGCCTTATAAAGTGTCCATCCATGAGCTCAGTTGTGACTGAGAGCCTCCATGACATTGTCCTAAATCCCAGGCGTGCCATCAGACCCCCCACAAACTCTGAGCTCTATTATACGTATGCAACAATAATGCGTTAGGGTGACCCAAAAGAAACATCTCCCGATGGAAATCAAGAAAATTAATAGACAAGGAAGAACAAAAGAATTACCTAAAGTACATTTGAAGGAATGCAGCTTGTCTGGATATCCTCAATGGAATTTTATATTTACTGGGCTTACATAAACTCTCAAGCTGTTCTGAAATGGCAGGCCTGTTTTTTTTTAACTTTTCTTTCTTCTACATTTTTGACATTTTTAAGCCATCTCTTTTCTGTGACACTTTAATTATTTAGAACATCAGGATTCTGACAGCGGAACATGCTATCTATTCTCTGTTCGCTCGTTCATTAGTTTTAATTAAACTCTTTAATTTTATTTATGCTGCCGTAGACTGATTAACAACTTGCCAGCATAAATCAGGAAGTCTTAAAAAGCACCTTGAGAAATCTTCTTTTCTCTAAGCAAAAACCTACGGCAATAATGCAGAGATCTGCAGGGTTTCATAAGCACCAGCTCAGAAATCCCGTCAGCAGCCCCCACTGCAAATTTCTCTGAACTGTTTCAGGAAAGGAACCTGGACCTGGTTGCTTCCTACAAAAGTACTTCCAACTGAACTGGATACAGGGCTCGGACCGGTAAAGACAAAAGCCCGCTTCAACTCTGCATCCAAGTTTTGGTCACGATGTAAAAAAGATGCTGAGACTCTAGAAAGAGTACAGAGAAGAGCAACAAAGATGATTAGGGGATTGGAGGCTAAAGCATATAAGGAACGGTTGCTGGAATTGGGTATGTCTAGTTCAGGGGTAGGCAACCTTGGCTCTTTTATGACTCCTGGATTTCAACTCCCAGAATTCCTGAGCCAGCATTGCTAGCTCAGGAATTCTGGGAGTTGAAGTCCACGAGTCATAAAAGAGCCAAGGTTGCGTACCCCTGGTCTAGTTTAACGAAGAAAAGGACGAGGGGGGACATGACAGCAGTCTTCCAGTATCTCAGGGGCTGCCACAAAGAAGAGGGAGTCAAGCCGTTCTCCAAAGCGCCGGAAGGCAGGACAAGAAGCAACGGATGGAAACTAACCAAGGAGAGAAGCAACCTGGAACTAAGGAGAAGCTTCCTGACAGTGAGAACAATTAACCAGTGGAACTACCTGCCTCCAGAAGCAGTGAATGCTCCAACACTGGAAGTTTTTAAGAAGAGACTGGACAGCCATTTGTCTGAAATGGCGTAGGGTTTCCTGCCTGAGCAGGGGGTTGGACTAGATGACCTCCAAGGTCCCTTCCAACTTTATTATTATTAATAATAATAATTACACCATGCTATTATACACCAGGGATCTTCCAACTTGGCCCTTTTATGACTTGTGGACTTCAACGTGCCTGGCTGAGGAATTCTGGGAGTTGAAGTCCACAAGTCACGAAAGGGCCAAGTCGGAAGACCCCCCCCCTGCTCTCCACCTCCTCCAACCCGCGGAGGCCTCGCTTAGACGGGGCGGCCGGGCCTTTCCCCAGAGTCGGGAGGGGCCGGCGCGAGAGAGCCCCCCCGCCGGCCCCGCTTCTCCCGCGGGCACTTCGTTGCCCGGCAACGCCTCCCTCCTCTCCCCACCCCTTGGGGGAATCCGGGCCGCTCTCCCTGCACGTGGGTCAATGGGGAGGGGCGGGGCGCCGTGGGCCTCCGCCCCCTTGGGGTTACCTGCACGTGGAGGGGGAGGAGTCCGACAACGACCCTCCAACCGGGCCGGCCGGCGCTCCTCCACCGCGGCGGACTCCAAGGCGGGCGGGCCCTCGCACCCCAGACCCCCCCCACCCGCCCGAGAGGCGCCGCTCAGCCGGGAAACCCCGGAAGGGAAAGAGCGGCTCCCCAGGCGCCTTCTACGGCCCCTCCCCCCGGTGGGCGGAGCCCGGGCCCAGCCAATGGCCCACCCGCAGACCGGAACTCGGCGGTCTTCGCGCAGGCGCCCTGGTCGTTTTGTAGCTGGAGCGCGTGGCCCGCCGGAAGTCGAGGAGCCGAGGGACGCATGCGCAGAGGCCTGCCGGGGGCCGCGGGTGGTTGAAAGCGGCCTCGGGGTCGCGGAGGGAGGCTGCCGGCGGCTTCGCCATTTCTTCTTCTCCTCCTCCTCCTCCTCCTCACCCCGAGCGAAGCGTCGCGGCCTCCGGGTTGCACCCGTCCCGCGGAGGACCTTCCCCGGGTTCCCCTTCGCTCCGTCCCGGGGCTCTTCAGCTGCTCCGTAGGTGCCGCTTTCTTGGCCGCCCAAGCGGGGCTTCCCTCGGGAGTCTGGCCCGGCCGCCCCTGGCCCTGCGGCGGAGAGAGGCAGGAGGCGCAGGAGGAGGGCAGGTAGCTCTAGCAAGCGAGCCACGCTGCATTTGGGGCCCTTGAGGGGCCGGGCTGGGAAGTGGGCCCGCCTCGGGCCAAGGAGAGCCGGCTTTGGGCCGGTCCCGCCCCTCGGGCCGGCCCACCTCGCAGGGCTGTTGTGCAGGGTTAGCCGTGGTCGTCTCCTTGAGTGGACCAGAATCTAAGAATAGTAATAATTTATTTACCTATCAGATTTGTAGCCTGTCCTCTTCGCCATTTGATAAGGATGCTTCTTGTACAGTGGGGCTTTTTAGTTAGTGCTAATTTCTAAAAGAGATTTTTTAAATATATATATATAAATTTGAGAACAACCACGGACTTTGGGCAACTTGGAGTCGAACTGAGTAAAGGTGGGGTAAAAATCTCATCACCACCGTCACCATCATCCCCGCCACCCTGGCAGAGTAATGGGTAGGATTAAGCTGGGTCGTTAGTTGGGGGGGGTCTCTTGCCGAAGGGGCGCTGCCTGTCGGGGCCTGGGCTGGAGGCAAGGGAGGAAGAGGAGGAGAAGAAACAATTCCGGGAGGAGGAGGAGGAGAAGGCTGGGACACTCCACGCCTACGCTGCCGCCAAGACTTGCCCAAGACTTGCTGCAGACTTGCCCAACAAGCCAACACACACACACACACACACCCCGGGAGACTTTCATGCAGGGCAAACTCACCTGGTTCTGCAGCACAGGTGCAGGTATTTTAAGGGCGGGTTGGGCGAAAGGGCCCAGGTGCTGCTATTCTGTAATTGCAAATATGGCAAAAGGGCAGGGGGTGGGTGGGTTATTGTATCCTGGAGACATTCCTAAATAAATGCTCATCTATTTTTTAAGAAGGGGAAACAGTATTCAATATGAGGAATCTTGTGACAGATTATCCTTTCTGTGCATCATTTATAGGCAAATTTCTGAAATAACAAATACGGAGTGCTTGTTTCCCACATTACAACTTTAGTCATTTGTGCACATTAGGACTATAGTCCAGAGGTTAACAACATAACCAGATTCTCATTCCTGGCCTGGCGTCTCAAATTCATCAATTGCTTGAGGCAACTACATTATGGATACACAGTTTAATTTGCTCCCTAGTAAATAATGTTTCTGGAGTTAATTGTGTATCATGGTATATTCTTAATTATTTTAAAATAAAATTAACTGGATGACGGTTTTCTCCTTTACATCAACTATGCCAAAGATTAAGTTCTCTTATCAATTCTGTAAGAGCAGATGCTAGTGTGTTGATGTTTAAGGTTGCAGAACGGTGGTATATACTGAGATTGTAAACCTTCCCAATATGATGCTGTAGTGACTGTTGAATAAAATTGGAGGTCAGATTAGGTTTTGAAGTGTGTAAATGTACTACTTTTACTGATTTTTGGCTTGTTCCATGAGTATTCAAAATTAGAGCAGTGTTTTAATATTTGAGGGGCTCCTACAAAGATAAGGGGGTCAAACTATTTTCCAAATAAGGCAAGACGAGGAACAATGGATGGAAACTAACCCAGGAGAGAAGTAACCTAGAACCAAGGAGGAGTTTCCTAACAGTGAGAGCAATTAAACTTGCCTACAGAAGTTGTGGGTGCTCCATCACTGGAGGTTTCCATGAAGAGACTGGACAACCGTTTATCTGAAATGGTCTAGGGCAGGGGTAGGCAACCTCGGCTCTTTTATGACTCATGGACTTCAACTCCCAGAATTCCTGAGTCAGCTATGCTATGGGAGTTGAAGTCCATGAGTCATAAAAGAGCCGAGGTTGCCTACCCCTGATCTAGGGTCTCCTGCTCGAGCAGAAGGTTGGACTAGAAGACCTCCGAGGTCCCTTCTATGTTACTCTGTGTTCTAGAGATTCTGCTCAAAATGCAAAATCCTAACATTCAGGGTGCAAAATGCCTTTTTCCCTTTTGCCTTTGAACAGAGGATGCCTGCCCAGAAGCTCCCGCCGGAAGGAAGCCTTGGAGCCCAGAAAGTGGGTGATGGCAGCAGCAATGCCAGTAACAGCCAAGCGGATGAAGCGAATAAGCCGGGGGATGATTGGGAGGCCCATGAATACCGCCTGGAAGACCGCGGGAAGGGGCACGCCTCGGAGAGCAACCTGTCGTCGACGGGGGCTTCTTTGGGGGCGCTCCGAAAGGGGCCCACGGTGCTCATTGACCGGCAGCAGATTCGGTCGGTGGCCCTCAAGGACCAGGCGCTTGAGCTCCGAGGCCTGGGGGTTGAGGTCTACGACCAAGAGGTCTTGGAGCACGGAGTCCTTCAGCAGATAGACAAGGCAATCAGCGAAGCCACTAAAGTGGGCCCAGCCCAGGATGGTGATGGTGATGGTGCTGCTGCTGAAACAGACGGCCAGGCGGAGTGGGAGGATGTGGGGTAGGTGAAAGGAGGTTTTACTGTGTGCCTGGGGGGGGGGGAATGGGGTTACTCTCATCGGCCTTCTCTGAAAGTTCAGAACGGGACAGGATGCTTGTAATTAAGCGGCTGCCTTGGAGAGCAAACCTCTGCTTCATCATCGGGTAATTTCTTCTGAAACTTTGCAGAAGGGGGGGGGCGTCTATGCTGCTAATCGGCCTGTGGTCGATTCAGTCGGTGACTCCCGGCTTCGTTTCAGCCTTTTCCCACCCTACAAAAAGTAATGATTTCAGACCATAAAATTACAATAATTCCAGTTAGTTTGCTTAACATTGTGAAAATATTAAGGTGAAATTGCTGATTTGGATAAGTTGCATTGAATTCAGGATGATAATAAATATTTTGTAAACCGAAGTTTGCAGATCACCCTCTGGTCTCGCTACAAGAGCTCCATTATCAACATGGTCAGGCAGATTGTTGCTCCACAGAAATAAAGGGATGTTTGTATACCTTATTAATATATTTATGATCCACTTTTTAATCCAATTATTTTAATGTAATTGCATTTTATTTTCAGGCCGTGTACATCCTCTCCAAAACCATCTGCTACAAACCATATGGAGCAAATTAGACCTCAGACTGCGGCTAATAAGGATAATAGTAGAAAACTGGATTCTGGGAAAGAACAAAACTGCAACAAAGTAATGGACAATTTACTGCTTGTTTATGACATTTGTTTTAATTATTTTTTTGCTGTTGTAATGATCCATGTTTAATACTTGTTGAAATTCATTTGAAATTTTAATTTTGTATACATAGTATCGCTTACTGGTAAATAATAATTGGTGGCAGATTGTTACTAATTCTGAAATCCTAAAAAAATCAGCAGCTATTACCTGGTTTTGGGGTTAACTAAATGCTTAGAATATGCCCTGGTGAAAAGAAATGATAAAGCCTTGTTCATCCAATTCTTAATATTTCCATTGAGAAGCGGTTTTTCTAAACGTTTCTTGTTCTAATTCTTCAATCATTGTGCATAAAGTCCTTCGCAAGTCGTAGTACTGTAAAGTCATATATGCTCTGTCTTCATGAGATACGCATGAATGCCTGGCTGACCCCTAGATTAAAAAAACTGGATACTTGGTCAGCTCTATCAAGGAAGATGCCGCGGTGCTGGTCCGTGCTCAGAAGCTCCTAGAAGGAATGAAAGATCAGCGCAGACAGGAAGGCTATTCTGAGAAAGAAAAGCAGCAATAGACAGCCTGGGGGAAAATCCTAAAAAAATGGGTTTTATATCTGTTAACTAAGAGGATAGTGAAACCGTTTATACTTGTCAGGATAAAGGTGGAAGTCGCTTTCTTAGGGTTTTTTTCTTTCTTTCTTTCTTGACATTTTAATCTATTTTTCTTTTTAGCTTGCGTCAGCTTTTATTGCTATAGTTAAAGCTTTTAATAAAAATATATTATTAAAAAAAGAAATCCTAAAAAGTGGGTGGGGGGCAAGGATTTCCTTGTGTCCTTAAAGCAAAAGTTACGAGTGGCTTTCAACTTCTAATACGAGAATTCTTCTCATATTAAAGTGTGAATATTCAGGTTTATCTAATCGTATGTTTTTGCATTGTATATAGTAAATGTATATGTTTTTTTAAAAAAAACAAAAACCCACTGGATTTCACAGCCATTTGACAATGCTGCATGTAGTAGTGAATGGGGAACTCTGTTGAATGAAGAACATTGAAAGCGTCTTGCCTTAAACCTGCCTACGGGGCCAGGAACATAGGGAGAGTAGCTTTTCCCGTACACGTTACTGTATATCTTCCATTGCTGAGATACAGAACCTGGGCAGACTCGCCGTGTGCAGAAAGAGGTTTTCCCCACTCGGCTCGTACTCATTTTGTATCATTTCAGGAGCAAGAGTTTAAAAAAATGAAAACGAAACAAAAGCACCTTCAAAATGCTGGTGAAGAAGAAGGGCCTGGTGGTGATGGAAGAGCTGCTGCTGCAGTTGAGGAAGGCGAGACTGAGGCATCCAGTGATGAGTTTGGAGGCCCTGTTGGTACATGCTGGCTTTAAATGAAATTTTGGTAGTTGAGTGCAAATGAACGCGCTAATATAATATTTCAGCGGATGGTTCTTTAGAGAGATTTAGCACTGTTTTAATTTTGCACACCTGCAAAACGGGACCTCTGAGTAGGCACGTGGGGATTTTTCACAAATGAAAGTCAATCTTGGGATGGCTCAGAAGGGAAAAAGCTGTTTCCTCTCGAGACTAGAACATTGGTCTTAATAAATTGCAAGTGTTAATCAAATGAGCTGAGCTGCAGAAAATTGTTTAAGTTGACAAAAAGCATGATTGAAATATATTTTTCATCACAATACTATCTGTCAGCAGTTAAAATTATGCAAAGTAGAATAACATTGTTTTAATGGAGCAAGCTATCTTTTGAGTATTGGTGGTTATCTATGTATATTGAAATACGTAAACACCCACCGGAGACTTGCAGAGAAAATATGACTTTGCCTTTTAACAGTTAAAATAAAACTGAAGGTTTGAACACCAGGAGGGTTGTTGGGAGGAACAATCTGTCTGAAAAAACTTCTAATCCTACGGTGGGAAAGGGCCACTTAGGCCTCTTACGTAGTGCAGGAACCCAGGTTGAAATGTCACGGACAAAGAGTTAGCCGGCCCCGGCAGAGCAGAGACAGGGACGGAAGGAAATCTGTAGTTCTCCCTGGGTGACTAGTTGCCCTCCTAGACTTTTCTTGTCGATAGGACATTTTTTAGTCGGAGTTTGCCTTTTGGCAACTCACGTCCATTATTTCCCAACCTCTTTCCCGGGATGATGGGAGAGGATGGTTCTTGCTCTGCTTCACGTGGATGGCTTTTCCAGCACGGACAGAGATTGCACTCACGACTCTCCCTTGCCCTGATTATTGTTGTTAGGAGAAGAAAATTCCGATGCAGGTCTTTAAAATGAAAAGCGTCTCTTTCAGCTCCGGGCCCTTCGTCCCTCCGGAGGATGCTGGCGTCAGCGGAGGAGGAGACTGAATGGGAGAAGCTGATCCGAACCGGCCAGATGACTCCCTTTGGGACGAAGATGCCCCGGAAGCCGGAGAGGGGGAAGCCCCGCAGGGTGATGCTGAACGACACTTCGGGTTTTGAAAAGCTGCTGGCAGATCAAGCGGAGCTCCTGCTGGAGAGGAAGAAAGCCCCGTTCCGTAAGGGAGGCCGGCCCGGAGCACCCTCGCAGGGTCCTCGGGCCAAATCCCCCGTCTCTTTGGCGAAGGGCCGGGGGAACGAGGGCCCACCAAAAGCTGGCGGCCCTCTGCAGCAGCAGCAGCAGGCTCCCCGGCTGCCGGCCAAAGCCAAGCTCCACCGGGGACAGCAGGAGGGCTGGGAGGCCTCTGGAGGCAGGAGGTCTCCCGAAGGGCTCAGCGTTTCTGAGGAGGAGGAGGAGGGTGAAGACGTGACTCCCGTGTCCTGGGAAGACTCCCTGAAGCAGGAAAGCCAGCATGGCACGGATGAGGAGTTCTTCCCAAGCTCTTCGGAAGAGGACGAAGGAGAAGGAGAAGTGGGCGTTACTAGGAAGCGGAGAATAAAGAGATACAAGGATGATGGCAATGAAGACTACTACAAGCAGAGGTTAAGGTCAGTGCAAAACACATATTTATACTGTGGGAGGTCCAGATTATGGGATTAAACCGGGTTAAATTACAGTGTTTAGCAACCACAGTTGGGACTGGTGACACAGTTGCTAAGTGGGGAATCATGCCAACACAACTGTGCTTGCGATTTTATTTCAGCTTTCTTTTTGTTTTCCCACTCCCCCACCCCAGGGAATGCTCTCCCCAACCCTGGGATAATTATTATAATAAGGGAATTAATGCAGTCACTGGAAAGGAAGGAGCTACTGTGCAGTGGGGAATGTGGATTGAAGGAATGCACCCTAGCATCATTTTCCTAGCACCCTTGCAGCTCCCTGCCCTGAGTAATCCCAGTAAACAGCCGAGGCTAGCACATTCCTTTGGATACATATTCCCCCTGGTGTGCCTGCTTACTCTCTTGTAATTCTTTCATCTCCAATCTCTGGGGGTGGGGGGGGGGAGGCAGAGAGAAAAAACTAATGAGGCAGAGGAAAGATGCCTTAAAGAGATTGCGTGCCTGTTACTCTCTTGTAATCCTTTTCTCTCCAGTCTCTCTATTTCAGGATAGACCAAAGTGTTATATTTTTAGTGGATGCTTCTGTCTCAAAGGTGTAATTAGTTTAACATTTGTAGTAAATCCAAAGGCATAATTGTTATCTGGTGGTTACAAATTTGATATTATAAAAGAACTGCCCATCTTGGATAGATAAAGTTAGCCATTTTTATGTGCCTTTTCCTCTTCCATTCTTGCCTTTATTTGTTCAGAGACTCCAAATTTCTTTGAAATCTTGGGTTATTTCAGTTGTGTGGTTCCAGTTATTAGAAGGTTATTGGAGCTCACAACTTTGGAATTTAAGTCCAGCTTGATAGATAATTGAAAAGTTATGCTCTAGACTTTTTTTTTAAAAAAAAATCAAAATATGAAGTTTAATATTTTAAACTTTTAGTTCAATATTCCTTTTAAAATAACAAATAATAAAGCAAAAGCCTTTTTGAGAGATTTTGCAAGGAATTAATACATACGTTAAATGTAAAATATTTTTTATTTTATTAAAAGTTAGCTTTTTTCATTAAGCTAGCTTAATATTAAATCATTTTTAATTCAGTGTTTCATCAAGAGTAATGTGTTTTGATTGAAAGTTTTAATACGATCCACATTTTAAATCCATTCCAGCAAGTTTTTTTTTTTAATAACATTAAGACTGTAGCAATTCATCCTTGGTAAAGTCATACGTTGCCTGCAGTTGCTGAAGTTACAATAAAAGCCTAAATGAATTTTAGAGATATCAGTAACTATAATTGCTGGGAGAACATTACATCTGAAGTTTCATAGACTCTCACGCGGCTGTTCTGGCTGTCAGCCGGCATCTGTCCACATTGCTGCCGTTGTGCTACCCCTCCCCAGATGAACCCCGTTAAGGGAAATGCTCCTAGGAGATTAAAACCGGAGTGAAATTGCCAGCAAAGTGCCATTTCCTCCTGCTTGCGTTTTATTTCTTGAATTATGGTTGATGAAAACAACCGGATGGAAGGCGGGGTTGGGCCCGTTTCTCCCCCTCCGCTGGTCCCCCGCCTGGGCTGTTGGGCTGAGCGCTTCTCGAGGCTGTGTGGGGAAATCCCACTTCCTTCAGAAGAAAGAGAGAAAATGAATTTTGCTTCCCACAGAGAAGCTCTCAGGATTGTGCTGGGGAGACGGTTCTTCATCATGATTAAAATATTATGATGGTGAAGCTTGACAGCCAGCTGGGTGTCTCCCCTGAACATCTGAAGCACCAGGCCAATTAAAAAATCCTGGTTCCAGGGAGACAGGTGGGAGACAAGCGAGGAGGAGGAGGAGGAGGAGAAAGGACTCCCGCGTGGCTCTGGCCGGTGCCGTTTTTCTCTGCGGCAGATCCGCCCTGCCGTAGGGTGGGGGGGCGGTTTCTGTCGCCACGCGTAAGGCTAGCCACTGGTGTCAGCTCTGCGGTAGGTCTGATGTGGGGACTGCCTGTTTTATGATTTGCCAGATATCGAATATAGTCTCCTAGGGATGGAAGTCTTCCAGTCCGGCCCATTGCGCAAGGCCGGAGACCTTACTACTACTCCTGGACAAAGATTTCCCTTTGCCCTGTGGCCAGGGTCAGGAGAGCCGCGGAGGGGCTGGCTGGACAGAAGCTTGCCGCTTGGCTAAGCACTCTGCTGTTTTTGGAAGAAGATAGATGATGCCCAAAGCATGTGCTGGTTGGAAGAAGAGCCACTTTTTTAAGTAGTAGGAAATCTGTGTGTTGAATAGGTACACCCGTATCCCAGCCTCTCGACTCACAAAGGACTATCGTTCTTTTTTCAATGCATCTCCTTTTAAAGTTCCTTTGAACCTCTTTTACAACAAACACAGTGCTTCAAGCGGCACTTAAATGTTGCATTTCAAGGGCTGAGTAATCCAAAGTACCAACAGCTTCATAAAACTCAGATTTACTCTGAGTAGGAATCCAAATAGGCTTTCATTCCTAATTTTTAGTCATTTTTTGTTTGTTTGTTTGTTAAGTCGTGTAATTTTGATAGCATCATCTCAACTGCCAAGGAAGCAGCAATTAGACCGACCTAGTACAAATCATAAACAGATCCGAAGAATAAATCGTTCTCTCGGTTTCCAAAATGATAATGATCATTAAGGGATTCTTGTCTTTTTGAAATAAAAAAGTATTGTCTTCTAGCAACATAAACTATATATAAACCCAGCTTGATTCCTGGGTATATTTTGAAACATCAGCTTGTTCGTCTTTCTCTTGTTCTTGCAGTACATTAAAAATATAATTCTGCTTAATTCTATCCTTTTATATCAATTTGACTAAATAATAAGCCTTTTCTTGTTTATTGCAAGGTGTCTAATCACATGAAAATAGACAGCTGTGAAAGTTAGACACGGAAGGTGATTATTGAAAGCATTATAAAAATAGGAAGGAGTCAACTTCAGTAATGATTAATTAGTTTTAATTGTGGTTTTGGAATTTTTGATTCCTAGCATATGAATGATTGATTTATCATGTATGGTTTTGGTTATAATAATTATGAATTTTAACTTAAATTGTGGACTTGTACAATTGTACAGTGCTCAGTCCGTTGATTGTAATGACCTATAAGGCCAATAAATAAATTTAAAACAGCCGTTTTGAGTCTAAAGAAATCATCCAGTTATACTGAAATTATGCTGTTCCATCTAGGAGTGTTCCAAGCTTTAATGTGGAGCTGTTTCAACTTCTGGTGAGATTTGGGAGAATTATTGAACCGAAAAGGACATTTTGAGTTTAAAACATATTGTACACAAATATGCAATATTTTTACAGTTAGAAAAAAAACCTATTGATTGAAGAGTATTCCTCTTTGCCTGAATTAAATGCAGCAGTTGTCACAGAATTTTCCATAAGGAAGGGTGGATCAATACCCAAATAAAGTGCTGTTTTGATAAAGTAAAAAATAGAAATGATAGTAAAAATGTTAAATCTTATAAACAAGAACGTGAAGTTAAAAAAAATGATGCTTCTTTAGAAAGGAGCCAGATTTGAGATCCTGGTGCTTCAAACCTCTAAGATGTTATAAAGTGTGAAGTCCTTAGTAATGTATGTATGTATATATGTATATATGTGTGTGTGTGTGTATGTGTGTGTGTGTATAGCTCCCACCCTATGGAATGAACTACCCCCAGAGATCAGGGTAATCCCGGATCTCCCTTCCTTCCGCCGCGCCCTTAAGACATGGCTGTTTCAGCTAGCAGGACTGGCCTAGGGGAAATTTTTAGCCGGGTTTTAAAATATTTTTAATTAACATAGGCCAATATTAATATCTTCTTTTAATTATGTTTTTAACTATAGTTACTTTGGTATTTTTGTATCTGTTTTATCAGGCTGTTAGCCGCCCTGAGTCCGCAAGGAGAAGGGCGGGATATAAATACAATAAAACTAAACTAAACTAATATATATATATATATATATATATATTTTCATAACGTAATTAACTGAGCTAAACCTTTTTGCTTATTTACACAGAGAAACAGTTCTTAACCCAGTGGCTCAGTTCAGAACCCCCCCCCCCACTGGCCTAGGCCCAAAGCCTGCCCCTCCCCTCCCTTTGGCTCTTCTTTCGGCTGGCGAGAACCTGCCAGGGCTTGAAATGGGTTCCCACGCTGCCCCTTAAAGCCCTTGAAAAGCCCCCAGCCCTGCGATGGCCGGGAGGAGCAGGGGGGCACGAAGACGTGTGCAGAGAGCTATCCTTGCTTGTCCCTGGCTGGCCTTGTGTTTATGAAGAAGGTGTTCAGCTCTCTTAAGTTAGGGAGCCTCAAGGAGCACAGCGGGCGCAAAATAAATAAATGTCATCGTATGAATTACTCGGTTTACATGCTTGTGCGTCATAACTCTGGGTGGCTCACAGGCATCCCACGGCCACAAGCCCCAGCAGACTAATAATCCCTGTTCCCTGAGCCCCAGGGCCGTCTCAGCCCAGGGCTTGAGGGAGGAACTCGGTTATCGAGGCCTCGGGGAAGGCTGGGAGAGGGAGGGCTTGCCAAAGCAGCCCTTTGCTCCCCCTGCCCCCTCCTGTTCATTTCAGCTAGGGCAGGGGTAGGCCACCTTGGCTCTTTTATGACTCCTGGACTTCAACTCCCAGAATTCCTGAGCCAGCTAAGCTGGCTCAGGAATTCTGGGAGTTGAAGTCCACGAGTCATAAAAGAGCCCAGGTGGCCTACCCCTGAGCTAGGAGAAGGGGAGCCTGTGGGGGGGGGGGCTTCGTTTTGCTTTTGCCTTGATGGGTTTCTCCCGCCCATCCTCTGAATCTGAGCCTCCCTGGGCAGGGCTCCACAGGAGGGGCGCCCGGCCCGATTCCCAGCTAGGCCCTCTTGGGCTCCCCTCCGAAAGAGGGTCGCCTTCCCCACAAGCGCAGAGTTACCCTTTGGACACGCCATGGTCTTGAAAAGAGGGCAAACGTGTATTTTGAAATACCCCCCAAATGTTACATTTTCAGTCATTAAAACAAGCAACTCAAAATTTCAAAGCAGAAAAACACCCAACACCCCCCAAGAGAGATTTCTGTTTGCTTTTTGTCTCCCTGCAAACTTTCTCCTTTTGTCTTGGGAGAAATTGCTCTCTCCGAAGAGCCGGTTCAGACAGTCGATGTAGAGTGAGGTGGAGATGTGTCTCTGATGCACCAGAGGGCACCCTGTGTCCTCGTTCTCTGGAGAGTGTAGAACTGGTTTTTTTTTATTTTTATTAGAATTTATGCATGTTATGAATAAAACTAGGAAATCAATCTGCTCTTTCACGAAATACCTAGTTTCCACTGAATAAATTAATTTGAATTTTTATGAGAAATTATTTCTTGTTCCTCGTGTAAGGGCAAAACTCTCTTACATATAGTACTTTTGTATTATGAGACAGTGTTAATTCAAAGTAGGTCTCTCTCAGACAACTCGCTTGGCGTACAAGAGTCAAGGCGCTGGACCAGGAGGGGGCCACAGGAGTTTTAGTCCTGCTTTAGGCGTGCATGTCAGCTGGGGCCAGTCACTTCTCTCGGCCCTAGGGAGAAGGCAATGGCACGCCACGTCTGAAAACACTGCCAGGAAAACTCCACGGGTTTGTCACGTAGCTGCCAGGTCTCAAGACTGAGTCGAAAGCCCACGTGAGGCACGGACGCCCCCAGGGCCCATTTCGCTTCCTCCTCGGCCCAGCTCAGATCGCCATTCTCACCGCGATCGGCGCCCTGTTCACTTAAATGACCAGACTGTGAGGTCGGGCTGAAGGAGTTAGAAGTGTTTTCTGTCATTGGCACTAACTCAATTCAGCAGACCTTTAGTAGTACATAATGGCATATAAATTGAATAAATAAATAGTCACGCTGCCCAGAGTGGTTCAGGCAGCATGGCTACTATTTATTTATTAAATTTATACGCCATTATAAATTTAAATCTATATGCCTGATCCGCTCTGGAGGGCAAAATGCCTTGGGCATGAAGTTGGGATGAATGGGAGGATGGCAGGGGTGAGAATGGGACAGGCAGGCTCCTATGGGGAAAGCCCCCCCCTAAACCCTTTGCATCGGGTGGGTCGGTGTTGGCCACGTTACGTCTCGCCTGGCTAAGAGGCCTCTGAGTCTGAGCATCGATTGATGCAGAATGTTTAGCTCCAGTTCCTTTTCCTTCAAGGAAAGAAAGAGGGTCCTGTGGTGGCATGGATGCCCCAGCGGTGTTCCTCCTTCACTGGGCTTCGTGGTTAACCTCTCGGCTGCTGCTTATTGTGGGTCTGGGTATTGTAAATGTTGATTTGTTTGGCTTAAACTTTTGTCCATTTCCAGAGCAAGCCTGCTGTGCTCTGAGAACAGATGATGATAATGATTGTTACATAAAACAACCCTTTTCACATTTACTTTTTCTTTCCTGTGAGCTGCCTAAAGTATCAGGTTCTCTCACTTTAGTAACAATTCTTATTGTGATTTCAGGAGGTGGCAGAGAGAGCAGCTGAAGGACCGAAAAGGGCGCCCGAGCGAGGGCGAAGAGTCTGGCGAAAGCGACGAGGAGTTTCTGGAGGGTTTTAAAGTCCCAGGTTACCTCTTCAAGAAGCTATACAAGTAGGTATACGAAAACTTTTTTCTTAGACGTTTTACTTTAAAAACCTCTTGCTTCTTTCCTTTGTTAGTGCCAGAATAATTTTGGGGAAATCTCGAAGGACTGGAAATGGGGTTATAGAAGAGATCACTGTCTCCGGTGGTTGCTGCTGCAGGTCCCCTCTGTCGAGCACAGCCGTTACGGCTAGCTTGGCCGTATTTAACAATAGTGGCCTGTGGTCTGAAGTATATCTGGGAAGAGAGAAATATCAGAAAATGGGAAATTCAGAAATGGGGAAAGTACTTTAAAATGTTAGGGATTTGAGGAGTGGGACTTCATGTTATAGGTTGCCAAGGAATGTCTGAAGGTGGAGTTGTTGCAACGGGACTAATTTTGTTGTTAGTTTGAGAGGCATTTTGCTGCTCATCCAGGCAGCTTCCTCAGTCCGAGCAAGCCAGTTAGGCAGAGAGAGTCGTTGGAGACCCTCTGCCACACCGACCTCAGGGAGGGCTTCCCCCCCCCCCAAAAAAATGCCTTGTAAGGAGGAAGCTGCTTAGATGGGCAGCCAAACGTCTCTCAAACGAGTAACAAAACAAAATTACTCCAGTTGCCACGACTACTCCACCTTCAGACAACTCTAGCTGGATGACTGAGAATCTCCCATCGACATATTGTCAAGGAATATTGGGGGGGGGAGGGGAAGTAAACTCTAACTGAACTGCTGTCTTTCCTTCATTCTTTCATAAATGAGGTCTGTGCTGTTATTGAGCAGCCTGTCGGGATTAGATTATTGGACTAGTATTTCTTAGGAAACGATGTGTGCAACACCAGAGTTTTTCCCACATGAGAAAGGTGATCCTTGAGTATCATCAAAGGTATTTTAAACTTTTCTTTCCCAAAACCTTTGCGGTGTGAAGCAGAATCTTGGAGGTCGCTTCAGCGAAGACCGCTACTGAAAGAGGGTGCCAGCACAAATAAATCACACCTCAGATAATGGGTGAAAGTTGCTGTGATATGTAAAGTCGTCCTATTAAGGTTTATAATCAGTGTGTTTAATTTGCAGGTCCACCAGCCCTTATTTTTTCTGGTAAAGAAATGTTTCGTTTTGCGAAATGTACGGAAGTGCTCTTTTGTTTGTTTACTGCAGCCTGGACTGTATTGGTTGTGGAAAAGAGTACTGGTGGATGAGAGAAAGTTACAAGAAACCAAAGCAGACCATGTTAGGTCCCTGGCTGGAGTGAGCGGCTGCAGATCCCTCTGCCCTGCCCTGGCGCTTTCAGGGATCGGGGTCCTTCTGACCTTCTGCTGACCGTCCCAGCAAGCCACGAGGCGTCCTCACCACAGTTGCCCTTCAGAGTCGTCAGATTAGACTTTCAGAGCTCTTGTCCTTGTTCCCACAAATTGTTCTTGATGGGCAGGGCAGAATTTGTGGAACCTCACTCTCCATCCTGGCTGCCTGCTTCCCTCCTGCTAGGAATCCATATGGTTCCCCCCCCCCCCAGCCCTCGCCTGAAGGGCTCCCATTCCAGGTGGTCCTTGTGAGAAACGCCACTTGACACACTGCGCCTGGCTCACGTTTCCCCCCTCTTCCCCTGGGTGTGTGTGTGTGTGTGTCATGGGCTCTCAGTGTTGAGCCCGAGGGCAGAGATTGTCAGCGCCACTGTCCCTTTTAGCACAAGAGCCACTGAGAGGCGGGAGGGGAACGTATTTTAAGTAAATACGAAATAGATCTCTGTTTTCAAACTTCAGTTAATTAATTGATTGTTTTGGTCATGGATTTGGAATTATTTACTTGCTTTAATCTGGAGAATTGCCTCTGTTTGGTAAATTTTCCCTTATAATTCATTTACCAAGTAGGGGCCTCCTGCTTCTGCCTATTTTAATTCAGCTTAATTGACTTGGAACTTGTGTCAACACTTATTTCAGTGTTCTTTTTACCCCCAGCCTCCAAGGAGAGGTTTCAGGTTTCATGTATGGTAAACCTTGATTTCCTAACCATGATTGCTGATAATCCACACTTGCCTGGAATTACACAGCATGTTAAGTCCTGAATTGTGGTTTATATACTGCAGGGCCTGGACGTAAGCTTAGCTAAGGCCAAATAAACCACAATGACTTAGCAAAATGTGGACTCAATTTTATTCATAAACCATGTGATGTTTTAGCACATGGTTGGACACCCACCCGGAGTTTAACAGTAAACTCGCTCTCTCTCTCTCTCCCCCCCCCCCCCCCCCCCCCCCCCCCCCGTCTATCTCTCAACTGTTTGTTGATCTCCTGCCATTTTGATGCAAGAAATGGGTAAAAGGGAACTTACTTTGTAAATTAGAATGTACTGCACCTAAAATAGGAAAATATTAATGCCCCCCCAAAACACCTGGGGAAAAGCAGAAAAACTCAGCCCAACCTATGTGATCCCTGCCACCTGTTTGTAACCCCCTTTCTTCTAATCCATCAAAAACATGTGGTCTGTCTGGAACCCAGCCATCAGCTTGCCCTCGAAGCGCAATTAATAAAACATCATCTTAATTTGAAGAAGCCCTTTTACCCCTTGTCCCTCTGAACAGGCCGTTTGGCTGCTAGGAAGCCAAATGCTGTTGGGTTTCAGCCCTTCCCCCAAACCGACCAGGCGGCTAAGAACGTGGTCCCTGCGGGTCCGATGAAAGACGGGGAGCCCTTGAAGTGTCACTCACATTCAGCGTGAAATGGCCCTTTAAAGAAAAGCCTGTGTGTGTAATCCAGAGCCCTTTTAGCTGGCCACTGTGGCCCTCCTGCCAGACCCCCCGTGCGGATGCTACGCTAGGAAGAGGCCGGTCGTGATGTCCAGCTGACCCGTCTTCCAACGGTCTCTCTCACGTTTGCTCTCTCTCTCTCTCTCTCTCCTCCGGCTTCCCTCCTTGTAGGTACCAGCAGACAGGTGTGAGGTGGCTGTGGGAGCTGCACTGCCAGCAGGTGGGGGGGATTCTGGGAGACGAGATGGGCCTGGGCAAGACCGCCCAGATAATTGTCTTCTTGGCAGGCCTCAGCTACAGCAAGATCAGGACGCGCGGCACAAATTACAGGCAAGTGCTCTTTTCTCCAGACCGTCAGTCTGTGAAGCCCCATTAATGTTTCATGGGATGTATTGCCATAGAGAAGAGACCCATTCATTATTCACGATATTTCAATTACAATATTTCTTTAATTCTTACTGGGGAACATCAAAGCATTTTTTTTTTATGAGACAGTGGAGCTGGAGGGCAGGAAAAATTAAACATGTAACACTCCTAATGAATTCCAGGCATTGATGCTTCTTTTTGTAGCTGAGCCTCACCAGATACTAAGGGGCAATAGCGCCCACGGATTGCTTGCCACATTAATAGTTTACATCCTATGGACTCTTCGCCTAGTTGTAACCCTTTTGGAGGTCATATTGCAGTTTTTTTACATGTAAAGAGACGCTCTGCGTTTATGATACTGGTGCGTGTAGGAAGGCATGCTCCAGGTGAGAAGGTAGAATATATTTGATAATGCCAGTTTGAATGAATGCAAAATATACTGTCCAATTCCTGTAGGACTGACGTCCTGCTCGCGAGATGGGTTGCGCTATGAAATTCCTGGGGGTGCCCCCCCCCTCCCTCACAGGCTGGTCTTGGCCCAGCTCTTCCTGCCTCTAGGGAAGGAAACTGGGCCTTCCTGATTAGCCAGGGCTTTTCAGGTTGGATTAGGGATTTTAACTTTTTATCAGCTTAACAATTTGGGGTTTTTTTAGTAGCTGGGCCTCGAAGCAGAAATGTGTTTGTTCTCTAGGCAGAAATTTGAACGTAAAATCAAATGAGTAATAACAAGAAGCCTTCTAGATCCGGTTTGTTGCTGATGGGTCCCGTGCTGCTGGTGTCCTCCTGCCCCTCCTCTGCCCCACTTCCGTCCTCCCGAAGGGCGAAGGGCGGGCGCCACGAGGGACACTGGCGTTAATAATTCATGGAAGAGGGTTTCCCAAGGGGGGGGGAGGGAATGTATAGCGTGCACTGGGCACTGCAGACCAGCCAACCTCTGTAGATAGTTGCCCAAAGAAGTTTTCTGTGCTTTACTAGCCCAGTTTCTTGCCTTGTGACAAGATAAACTCCACTGGTGGCTGAGGAATTCTGGGAGTTGAAGTCCATGGGTCATAAAATCGCCGTAGTTGCCTACCCCTGGGTAAGGCGTTCAAGCCGGCTTTGGAAAAGGCCAGGGGGACACGACACACCATTGATGACTGAGAAAGCCAAAGGATACCAATGCAAAATCAGCAGGTGCTTCGTTGATTACGTTGGCAATAAACGGTAAAAACATTGAAGATTAAGATAGCAAACCTCAAATCAGGAGAAGGCTGTCTGAAACATTTTGGTCTTCCTGGTTTCCCCAAAAAATAAGAAAGAGGGGTTGAAGTTAATCTTTAGAGGGAAGCTCTTCTACGGCATTGATGCTGCTACAGAAAAGGCCTTAAATTCAGATGTGTTGCAGGGAGGATGGAGGGCTCGGCAAGGAAGCTGCAGTTGTGGGCCGCAAACAGTATCTGATGTGACATGGATAAGGAAAAAAAAGAACAAACTCGATTATAATTTGCATAAATAGAAGCCCTCATTTCCACCCAGGAGGAGAAAAAGTGATTGTTGTGTCATAGTCTAACTACACATTTAGTATTTTGCCAAATTACGAGCATCATATCTTAGCATGGAATTTAAAAAAATTGTAGCATGTTTTGAGAAGAGAAATTTATCTTTAAAAGCCGGGAACCTCCAATCCCAGAGCTTTTACAGGCCCTGAAACTTGTTTTGCTTGCACCGGATGGAGAGGGTATAATTTCCTGCACTTTTTCATCTTTAAATCTCAGTGTGTGTCCCCCCCCTACAATAGGTGTATCCAGCAATTCAGGGGGGGAGACGGGGGGGTGGGGGGTGGAAACCCTCAGTTTCTGAAAAGGGAACTTTGCTAGTCTAGTGGAAGGGCTGCTGCCTCCGGTCCCAATTCCTTTGTGCCCGTTTATCCTGGAGACGAACCGATGGAAGAAGAACAAAAAGTTTTATTTCTCATCCAAGAAGCTTCATCAGTTCTGATGAAGAACTGATGAAGCTTCTTGGATGAGAAGCAAAACGTTCTCTTCTTCTTCCTCAGGGGGAAAATAAAAAACAGTCCGGTTGCCTTTTGAAGAAAAAAAGCCCCTTTGGGATTATCATTGGATGCGCCTAGGATATAAGGCCGGAAAGAGTCTTCCTGGTAAGTGCATGCTGTGCTTAAACGTGTCTGCTCCAAGACCAGACTAGGCAGCTGCGGTCTGTGAAAACAAAATTCAGTTTTGCTTTAACTTTAGGAATGCGCAATGACTTTCAGTATACAGTTCAAACTTTTTAGCAACTTTCTGAAAGGACGGGCGTCGGGTATTTTCACTAATGTTTCTTTCCCCTAAAATGTTTAGTGAAAAGAAGTATGATAGGAACGCTCTTTATTTCTGATAAATTTGATAAGGCAATCGTTTCCTACAGTACCGAAGCGGTCATTTTGTCTATGAGCCGAGGCCCCTTTTAACCCTTGCGCTCCTCCCGTCTGCTCCAGGTACACAGGGCTGGGCCCCACGGTGGTTGTGTGCCCAGCCACCGTCATGCATCAGTGGGTGAAGGAGTTCCACGCCTGGTGGCCGCCATTTAGGGTGGCAGTTTTGCACGAGACGGGCTCTTACGCTAATAAAAAGGTACCTGCTTTTTCATTATTCTGTCACTTCAGCCTTCCAAGCTCTCTCTGCCTTTATTACATATTCCCGTATAGGAGCAGTTCTCATTTATTTCAAATATTGTATCATTATTCGTGGAGGCTGCTTGTGAGTGTTACCCATAAGCAGTCATTTAGCGGTTTCTTCTTTTTCCAAAGGGGGAGGGTGTATAGTCACAGCCCTCTGACCTGGAGGCGGGGTTGGCTTTATGCGTGGGCTGCTTTAAGACCCAGGTGGCCGTGTGCCCGAGTCCCATGAGGCAGGACGTATTAAAGAGCTCGCCACCCGGGTGTAAGTCAGGCTAGCAGAAACGGCTTTTACAAGTCTCCCGCTTCCTTCCCTGCTCACTTCTCCAGAGGGGGCTTCCCTTTGTCAGGAGGCTTGACTCTTTGCTGTCAGTTTCACAGCCTTCAGAAACTGCACAAAAAGCCAGGGTCGTTGGGCAGGGCCTTTCCACAGTCCCGGACTTTGGCCCCTTTGCTTCAGGCCTTGCTGAGTGAGGCCCCCTCTTTTGGCCGCTCTTTATAACTTTCCCATAATCCCTGGGTGGAGGCGTTTGGGGATCACCCTTATTAAGCTGTCCTTGAGATGTCTGGCGAAAAAGGGCACTCGGGAAGGGAATGCAAGAACCAGATGTTCAACAAAACTTCTAAAAAGTTCTGTTGAAACTAAAACAGATCAAGGTGATAATATTAAAAAATTAACCCAATTGGTCAAGCAGATGTACAGAGTATCTCAACTGGGATTATTCTACCTATTAGATTTTTGTAGGTCCAGACGTCCAAATTATTCCTCTACTGCAGTATTTTCTTATGCCTCTTATAGTTTTAGGTGCACGTATGGACATCGATCCCTGAACATCCAGTGCGTTAATAATAGTCAGTATTATAATGGTAGTCCTCACTTAATGATTGATCGCTTAGCGACTCTTCGAAGTTATGATGAACCTCCTAAGAGACACTTAGAAACCAATTCCAGGGTGCTGATGGCCACACACACACACACACACACACACTGCGGTTACCCAATTGCATTTGGGGTGCTTGGCAGTGGGTCCACATTTATAAACCCTCCGCAGCTCCTGGTGGCCACGTGACCCTCATTTCCACCAGGCCTTTTGCTGGTGTTTTCTTTTGCTGGTTTCTGGCAAAAAAACCAAAAAACCCAACAACAACCATAGTTTATAAGTTGCTTGTTTAACGATCACCACATTCACTTAACAACTGCTGGAAAAAGGTCCTAAAATCAGGCAGGGTGACAAGGTCACATCCTCTTAACAACCGCCATGGCTTTACGACCTTAATGCCGGGCTCAGGTACGGACGTAACTCAAGGACCGCCCGTTTCATGCGGAACCTGCACAGAGGCTGAGCCCTGAAAGGCTCCATTCTGCCAGCCAGGCCGGGGCCCGGGCGCTCCCGCCCCTCCAGCCCTCCTGCCAAATGTGTGACTGTGGAAGTCTCGCCGAACGAACGGCACCCGGTTGTGGAACGGTGTGGAATAAAGAAATTAACTTGGCAGAATTGAGCCCCCCTTAAAGGAGAGGCAGAAAGGGGGAAGCACAGGGCGGGAAGGCCTTGGGTAGCCCCCCCTTCCCCCCCCCGTGAACCCCCTGGAGCCTCTTCCTTTTCAGTATTTAAAAGACTTCTGGCGAATTTTACATCACCTTAAGCTGAAGGGGAGAAGTGGCCGTGATGAATGGCCTCCCCGTGTTTTCCTTCATTGTCAGCACAACTCCTTGTTTAATAAAGTTTTGGCTTGAAGGAAATTTTAATTAATTACAGCTTGGGTAAAACCCGAGCCGAGGGTCTCTGCTGTGCTGCGCCTGCCGTGAGCGGCCTTCCCCGGCCGGCCGGTGTGGCTGCTCCCCTTCTCTCCACCGCCCGCCTGCCCGCCCGGCGCTGCTGACAGCGTGATTTATGGCTGCTGTTTCCTACCTGCGCACTGATTGCCCTCCAGGAGGGTTTGCTCTCCTGAGCCTCTCTGGGAGAAGAGCCGCGCTTCCGCAGAACATCCTTTAATGACAAGGATGTTGCTGCAGCCGCTTCTCCGAGTCAGGATAATTGCAGACGTACCCTATTAATTGCAAAATCTAGGAGAGGTTACGCATTTACAAGCTTTTAATTTGAAATTGCCTCAGATGGTTTGTTCTTAGTTCTGAGCAGAGCTCTCGGTGGCCGTGTTCTCTGCCAGAGACCGGGACCGGAGAACAGGAAGGGTGGGAGAGGGGCCGCTTTCGTTCCCTGAGGAGTCTGGCTGTCAGAAACGCCACCGATGGGGAGCTGGACGGGCTCACTGCCCCCCCCCCCGGCTGTCCTCGGGCTCACTGGGCCCCGGCTGTCCTCCTCCGGAAAGGCCTTAACCCACGGAGCCGGGTGCTGCCATGCTGGCCCAGCCGTGGGTCAATCAGGCTGCCTGGAAGCTGATTTGTGGCCCACCCAACAGTCACGAGGATTTCTGCAAATAAGATATTTTTTATTGAAAATGTTGTTTGGAGGATGCACACTGCAAATTGTCCTACTTTGCCTTCAAGGGGGATAATAGCAGAAGATGCAAGTATGGTGTTTAAATGGCCGGAGGGCCTTTTTTTAAGGATGACTTAGTAGTGGGTGCCGTCATTGAAAGGGTTAGACTAGATGGTCTCTAGAATCCCTCCCAGCCCATACATTTAGTGGTATCTATGTTTTCAGCCATTTTTATGTTTAGCAATGGCTTCCCAGATCTGTATATTCCTCTGTCTGAAAATTGGGGTTGAAATCAGGTTAAGAGTAGAGTAGAGTAGAATAGAATAGAATAGAATAGAATTAAAGAATAGAATAGAATAGAATAGAATAGAATTATAGAATAGAATAGAATAGAATTATAGAATAGAATAGAATAGAATAGAATAGAATAGAATTAAAGAATAGAATAGAATAGAATAGAATAGAATTAAAGAATAGAATAGAATAGAATTAAAGAATAGAATAGATCAGAATAGAATAGAACAGAATAGAACAACAGAATAGAATAGAATAGAATAGAATAGAATAGAATAGAATAGAATAGAATAGAATAGAATAGCAGAGTTGGAAGGGACCTTGGAGGTCTTCTAGTCCAACCCACTGCTCAGGCAGGAAACCCTATACCATTTCAGACAAATGGTTGTCCAATCTCTTCTTAAAAACTTCAAGTGTCTGCACACCCACAACTTTTGGAGGCAAGTTGTTCCATTGATTGATTGTTCTCACTGTCAGGAAATTCCTCCTTTTAGTTCTAGGCTCCAGGCTGGTTCTCCTTGATTGGTGGCTTCTGATCCCTGCCTTCAGGTGCTTTGGAGGACTATTTTGTTTATCTCTTGTAACCTTACTTGCTAAAACAGAAACCAACTTGCATTGCTTTGAGAATAGGAAAGAAGAGATTTGAAGGAAGCAGAAGGCATTCCCGTTAAAGCAAATAAGTAGCTTGGATGTATTTATAAACATCTCTGTTTTGGGAATTGCCGATCAGGATCTTAATGTTCCTGTTTACACAGTCAAAAAGATTATAAGAAGTAAAGAATACTTAGCTGCACTAATAAGGGTAATTTTCTTGAAATCGACTATATTCCTTGACTTGTCTCTTGTAAACTGTGTGTTTCCATAATTGTAGATATATTTGGAACACCTGCAGTTTTACCACAAGCTGGAATCAAAACGATCGTCTGAGGGCCAATTTCCAATTTCATTTTTTGTGCTGCTGCACAGTAGAAGCTCCCACTGAATTCCGTGGGACGCAGCGAGGAAGCTGCAGGGAGGACAACCAGCCCAGCCCACGACAGAAACAGTGCTCGAAGTTGGGCAGCGTTAATTCCCTCCTCCCAGTATTTCTGGCCCCCTTCACTTAAGGTTAGCAGACACAAAATGTACGGCGATGGCAGCGGTCATGTGTGAAAAGTGCCGTCTGTGTGCGCATGGTATACATTTGTGTGTCCGTAGAGGTACAATTTGTCTTTAACTGGCAAATACGTTAATGCAAAATTATAGTTGTCTTAAATTGGGCATCACAAATGGATCGTTTTCTGCTCCACTGATGGCTCTGGTTTTCTTCTGGGCCTGAGGATTACTTGTAAATTGAGATTCCTGCTTTCCCAGAAGCCTTCCTTTGCGGGCTTCCCCTTCACCAGCGTCTGCCACATAAGGCCATCTGCCCACCCCTTGACAGAGGAGACGCGCCAGGCTGAACAGCCGTAAAATGCCCCAGGCGTGGTCTTGAGTCGACTCCTCTGTCCTCCTCCGCTTGCCGGCTTTTCTCTGTGCTTCTTTCAGTCGTGTTGTGAAAACCACCAGCTCTGCCCTGGCGCAATGGCGTTCCATCCCCCCAACCGCAGTCGAATGTAACGCGGCCCCACGGGGAGCCTGCTGGGTACAAATCTTGAGCACCCCCCTCCCTTCCTCCTCCCAGGGCCAGGGGTGCCTCCCAAGGGCCTCTCCAGACTCAGGTTCTCCTCGGGAGCGCCTGGCACGAGCTAAAGTGAGACGGCAGTTCTGGCTGGAAAGGAGCCGGGGCCGGGGCCGTGGCTGGGATGCAAAGAGATGGGAGAGAGCATCTTTCCGTAAGAGACGAGGAGGGAAGCAGGCAGTGGGGCACCTCAAGGCTCTGTCTTGGGCTTGGTGCTCTTCAACACCTTTGGAAATGGTCTTGAGGGGATGGAAGGAGAGCTCGCCAGGCTGGCCAATGGGGGGGAATTGCCAACACTTTGAAAGAGAGGCCCAAGACTCAGAAGGGTCTTGGAAGACTTGAGCCTGTCCAACAAAACGCAGTTCAGTGGGGAGAAAAGGGGGGCGTCTGCCTTTAGGCAGTAAAACCAAAGGCAGACCTACAGCCTAGGTGGCACCTGGCACAGCAGCAACAGCAATGGGGGGGGGGATCTGGGAGTCCCAGTGGACCACCCCTTCAGTAGAGGAGCCAGCAGGGGTGCTGCAGCTTCCAGAAAAAGCCAAAGTTTTGCAAATGGCCACTTTGTGAAAGAATTGCCTCTGACGTGTACATTGTACGTTTCATTTAAAAAGTCCCGTTTGTGATATAATTCCTCCTATGGCTGATTCCCTGTGACTTAACAGTCCAGATAATCATGTGGTGTCATACTGTCCTCCTTGTCATTCTTTAAGCTCTCACAAGACTTTGTTCAACACAGGACAATTGTTCAGTCAAGCTATGCAAGGTGGTCGTGGACCCTTCGCTGTTTAATGATTTTAAAACAAATGTTTTTGCAGGTGAAGCTGATTCGTGAAATTGTGGCCTGCAATGGAATCTTGATAACCTCCTATTCCTACATCCGCTTGTTGCAAGACAACCTTCAGAAGCACAACTGGCATTATGTGATTCTGGACGAGGGACATAAAATCCGGAACCCCAAGGCTGCAGTTACACTGGCTTGCAAACAGGTAGGATTCTGTAAAAAAAAAATAAAAAAAATGGGAAGCATGGTGTACCTTGCTTGGATTGAGGGATTTGAGACTTCTGTTCCGTTGAATGATGTCCAAGCGAGGCCCAATATAAAGCCTTGATGTCTGTGCATATAATTTAGAGTTGAAGAATATGTAGAGCATAACTTTCTTTGATTTTAAATGAAGTGGGTGTGTTCATTTCCTCAGTGAGGTTAATGAGTATAATTAATGGGTTCTAGTAATATCTGTAACTAAAGTTTTTCAAACTCCATTCAGCAACAACAGGATTTCTGTCCTTATCTCTACTTCTATAAAATCCTTTATGACACTACTCTTTGTATTGAATCAATTTATCCTCGTGTTTAAAAAGAGGATGGTTCAGGGAAGGGGAGAAGAAGAGACCCACTGACTTTCCCAGCCTCTCCAAGGAATATCTTGGTTTATTCAGCGCGAATTCAGTGATAAACTCACTCTGTATCTTTACATATTATTTGAATTTTAGGAAATGGTTTAATTAAATAACATCAGAATAATGCTTTGAATCTGGTAGGTCTAAATATCAACCATACTGATTCTTATGTGGTTTTGTTTATAAGGAGTTTTTTTTTAATAAGTTATAGATTAAGAGAAAACTACTTGCCGTGCGTGAAATTGCGTAGGAGGCCGTGGGATGGGGGGAGCGTTTGGGAAAGGAACCAGGATCTCAGAAAGAACGGTCCGGTTAGGCGGAGTCCCCGTTCTGGCCAGCTGCTGCGATGATTTTAATCCCATGTTAACCTTCAGCAGCCCTTTTGAAGACACCACGTCCATCATTCCAGCAGAATTGTGTCTTTTGTTTCAGGAATCACAATTTCTTTTCTTCCTGTTGCAGTTCTCCACCCCTCATCGGATCATATTGTCTGGGTCACCTCTGCAAAACCACCTGAAGGAGCTGTGGTCCCTCTTTGACTTTGTCTTCCCAGGGAAGTTGGGGACCCTCCCTGTCTTCCTGGAGCAGTTCTCGGTCCCCATAACCATGGGGGGGTATTCCAACGCCTCCCCGGTCCAGGTAACGATCAGGGGGGTGTGTCCCACTGAAAGGTCCATCCAGGGTCCCCTTTGGAGACCCTCTCTCGGCTCATTGGGCTGAAAATGCATCAGAATGAACTGCTGATTTTGGGTTTTATTGATTAAAACCTTTGGTTTATGGCAAGCAGGGAACTATGCTATGCCACACGGAGGGGGGGGGAGAGATGGAGGTGGCAATTGTGGTGTTCCTAACTCCTACAAAGAAGACTGGAAGTCACTTCCTTAGATACCTCTCCTGCTTTTTTTTTTATTATCCTTCACTTTTTCTTTTATCCTTATTTCCCCATCATTTCCATGCTGGAATAAAAGAAGTATGAGAAATACTTTCAGTAAAGTCACTGGTGCCTTTCTCCCCCCCCCCCCCAAAGGTGAAAACCGCGTACAAGTGTGCCTGTATCTTACGGGACACGATTAACCCTTACCTGCTGCGCAGAATGAAGGCCGATGTTCAGATGACCCTCTCCTTGCCGGATAAAAATGAGCAGGTACAGTTTTTAGTTTTGTGCAGTTTTCCCGTTTACGTGAAGAGAGGCTTTGAGTAAGACATTCCTGGAAGGAGAAAAGTGTCTGTGGACACAACCGGTCCTTTCCCTTTGGTCAGATGCCCCTTCTGGAGCCTCTTAATGACCTTAAGGAAGGTCTGGCCTAGCCGAATAAAACATTGCTCCTTAAACTTCAAGCTGGGAGTAAATTCAGATCAGATCCCTTACAGACAGATTGCTCCTTGTTCAGGTAAACAGGAAGAGCACTTAGACCCATATACCTCCTTCAGGGTGCTTCACAGGCCTTCTCTGAGCAGTTTACAGGGTCAGCATATCGCCGCCATGCCCCCTTCCCCCCCCCCCAACAATCTGGGTCCTCATTTTACCGACCTCGGAAGGATCCTGGAAATAAGCCTTTATCAAAGAAGATCCCAGTGATCTTCTGACCCTCATAGACATGCTGAGCTGCGTTTGCAGCTGACACTGAATTACAGTGTGTAGCACTACTATTTATTATATGTCCTGAATTATTTTGCAGGTACCTCCCAAGAAATCTGGAAATAGAGTGTTTGTTTGATTTCTATAATTGTTCGTCTCAGCGGGTTCTCTAGATAGCCTACTTCATAAAACATAAAAAAAACAATTTTCTGATATACCATTTTCACTCATTTAAGTTCTCTTTTATGTTTACAACCTGCTGCCAGATATCTGAAAAAATTTAGAATGCGTGGGGAAAGCTTTATGGACAGTTACGTTAGGAGAGCAGAAATCTGTTCAATTTGTAACTCCTTTTCTATTCCAGTGAATACTTAAGTTAGTTAAGTTTAAAAACAAAGGTTACAATTAAAATTCCGGTGCCCTGAAGACTGAGAAGTGAGTGGTGGAATTTGAGAGTGACATCTCTTGGCAGGAGATTGCCACATTTTGTGGGTAGAGCACTCGGATACCCACAGACAGGGGAACTCATCTCACAAATTGGAATTAATTAAAAGTTATGCCTGCAGACAGAGTGGGATTCCCTCCTGCGAGTCGGGCCTGACATATTGTGAGTTCTGGTAGGCCAGCCGAGGCGTTCGGAGATTGGCACCACGGAGACGCTGATCCCAGTCACGAAAGCCACAAGTTGTAAACTCTGGGAGAAGATTAGCATTTGTCGTTTTATTGCTTTAAGTCCATGTTGGCTTGTAGTACGATGTGAGTATAGTAATTTCTTCAATGTCTCTGTTTAGGTATTATTTTGTCGCTTGACGGCTGAACAGCAAGAACTTTACAAAACATTTATTGATTCCAAAGAAGTCTATCAGATTCTCAATAGAGAAATGCAGGTAAAATGCAGTAAAGTAATCAATTTAAGAGGTTACCCAAAGAAAAGCGTTAATGTTATTGCCATTTGCAGTAGAACAAATTAAAGGCCGGAGCTTGAAGAAAAAGTAAATGAAACTAAATTAAACTAACACTGTTCGCTGTCTGACCTTTCTGTCCTCTTCATTCGGGGTTCAGGCCTGGACCTGGGACATGAACGGCACCGGTTGCTCTCACCAGCGACCCACAGCGGGATTTGGACACCCGGCCTTCCTCCCCTTTAACCTCTTTGAAGGGTCCCTCTCAGTCTCTAAGGAGGGAAGGAAGGAGATGTCACTCCTTCCTGAGTGGAGAGTCCACTCAGTAGCCAGGGCAGGAAAGGTTGAGCTCCAAGATGTGTGTGTGTGTGTGTGTGTATAGATAGATATAGCTAGAGAGAGAGAGAGAGAGAGAGAGAGAGAGAGAGAGAGAGAGAGAGAGAGAGAGAGAGAGAGAGAGAGAGAGANCCATCCAGGCACACCTTGTTTGCTCTTCTTCATTTACCTCCAGTACACACATTTCCATGAAGACTGTTTGCGTTTTTGCTACTTTTTAAAACTTTTATCTGTTTCCCAGTCTCTTTCATTATGTTGCCTTCAGTGGTCGGTTTCTCTCTATAAAATGTATAAGTTTCTACCTGCATTTTTCCTAGAGGACTCGTTTTCTTAGATACAGTCAGCTAGTCCTTTAAAGTATACAGAATTTTGTCACGTGTTCATTATTTTTTTTAACAAACCCACAAGGCACATTTCATAATCTCAGGGTGTGTGTGTGTGTCGTGTGTTTTGTGCTCAGAACTTACTCAGAACCTCTGCAGGAGTCAGGATTTCCCCACTGACTCTGCCATTCAGGTATTACTCAGTGGACATATATCTCCTCCTGTGGGCAAAGTTTTGATACTGATATGGAACTCAGCAGGTGAACCCCACCTGTCTCTTGGGGCTCTGATGAGAACTTTTTTTCGGAATAATTATTTATAAATGGATTTATAACCCCCTCTTGTCGGTCAGGTGCTTCAGAATAGGGCTTTGTTCGGCTGTGTTTCCTGTGCAGATATTCCCTGGGCTGATAGCCCTGAGAAAAATCTGCAACCATCCAGATATCTTTTCTGGTGGACCTAAGATCCTGAAGGGGACACCCGAGGAAGACTTGAGCGAAGAAGACCGGTTTGGATTCTGGAAGCGTTCTGGGAAGCTGATCGTCGTGGAGTCTCTGCTGAAAATATGGCACAGGCAGGGCCACCGGCTGCTGCTCTTCACCCAGTCCAGGCAGGTCAGTGTCAAGAGACGAGGCGGCTGGCAGGTTTGGAACGCGGGACTGGCCACGGTGTAAATGCATTGGGATAGCTGCGTGGCTGGAGGCCTCTTTTGTGCAAAAAGGCACTTGGCTTCATGGAGCTCCGGTGCTGGCCGTCCGCTGCCTTCTGTCCGAGGCAGGCCAGAGCTGCTTCCCATCCTGGGTGCTGCTAAAGGCCCTGTATGTGGGGGGGGGGTTCTTCCATGCTCTTATAATAATAAAAAAAAACACAAGAAAATATAATCACAAACAATTAAACACCAGAAGGAAATTACAACATTCTCCTCTAATAGTTACAGCTCTTAAAAGAAATTTAGAAACCTGATTTCTTCCATGCTGCAGATGCTGCACATCCTGGAAGTGTTTTTAAAGGAAAGGAACTACTCCTACCTCAAAATGGACGGCACCACCACAGTGGCCTCCAGGCAGCCTCTGATTGCCAGATTCAATGAGGTGAGGAACTCGCGGTGAGGCCTCGGCATAAGCTGCGTGTGTGTTTGATCAAGGTTAACCACAACCGATCCGAACCAGTTAGCGGCAAATGCCCAGAGTTGTAAGATTTGCTAGTACCGTATTCCAAACACTTTACGCTCAAAATCCCCCAAATACGGGGGCCTGTTCCATGGAAAGGCTCTGGGTTTTCTCCTCTTGGTTATCCTCTGTATCGGAGGCTTCTGCCCCTTTTTTTGTTGAGGTTTGTCTTATCCAATCCGTGATTAAAATAATGGGCAATAAAATTACATAGCATGGAAACGTCGATGCCCGCATCCCTAAGTTTGAAAAGAAACGCGAGACTCTCCTCCCGCTTGCGCTCCACTCCTTGAAAGGCGGAGGGTGTGATGGATTTTCGAAGGACGTTTCCTAGGGACGCTTTGTCTTGAAAATCTTTGCAGGATGCGTCCATCTTTGTCTTTCTCCTGACTACTCGAGTTGGTGGGCTTGGGATTAACCTGACAGGGGCCGACCGGGTGATCATCTATGACCCTGACTGGAATCCCAGCACAGACACCCAGGTGGGTCACTGGAGAAGAACCGTGCCTTTAATAAAAGCGTGCTTTCATTGAGTCATTAAATGATTTTGAACAGCCCCACCTTCCCGTAGTCAAGGGGAAAGGAAAGAACCCCGAGGGTTTAGCAGGAAAAGCACGCTTCCCAACTGTTGGAGGGCCACCCGTGGAAAGTGGGGACGAGCGTTCGGAGCCCTTGCAGCGGTGTTCACCCCAGCAGCAACCCTGCCTGGTCCTTCTTTGCCCTCTGAAGGGGACCTTGCAAAGCTGGTGTCCGTGTTCTAGGCCCGGGAACGCGCCTGGAGGATCGGCCAGACCCGAGACGTGACTGTGTACCGGCTTCTCACTGCAGGGACCATTGAAGAAAAGATCTACCACAGGTGGGTGCGAGGCGGCTGCTGGGCTCCTCTGCTGCTGCCCTTCTGCCGGGTGTCAAGGTTTGAGAATCTGCATCCAGCCGCTTCCCCTCTTTTGCTTGCGTGGCCCAGCCCCCCCCCCCCCCC